CCATAGGGTTTTCAGCATGGAGAAATACACAACAAGAGGTTTTTCTCCCTGTTTCATACTTATCACCTGATTTCTTAACTGATAGGCTCTGGCTTCATTTTGCTTCTGAGAGTAGGTTTCAGTCACTCCATCCCAAATCTCCTTAGCAGTATTAGCCCATAGGAATTTTTTTGCAATATGAGGTAGCATAAAATTACACAGCCAGGACATTACCATGTAATTCTCTTGCACCCATTGGGAAGAGTCTGTATCAGGTTTTGTCTCCTCCCCAGTGAGATACCCTAATTTTCCACGGGCACCAATAGCCATCTTAGCTGATTGTGCCCACTCCAAATAATTTGTATCATCAAGTTTTACTATAGTAATGATCCCAGACCCAAAAATATCATTACTACCTCCAACACCCAGTCCCACAGTACCGGTAGATTTCATCTCGGTATTCGAACTCTCCATTTTACTTCAAACAGTTCAACAGTAAGAAAAAAGTAGATCGGAGACCTTCAAAAAATAATTTAATATCACATACACAGAAGCCAACACTTCTGGAAGAAGAAAACCCTAGTTGGAGGGAAATCCCTCTCCTCCCCACGGCTCCCAACAGAGATAAAAGTGAATCGATCACTCCGGGAGGCCTAGAAAAATTCAGAAACCAAATTGCCCTCTTCAGAAAATCAAAAGAAAAGTAACAATACATGGGCGCCCAAGATCAGATAAAAAACAAAGAGTCCAACTTTTCTGAGACTCTTCCCCGTACTCCAGTTCTTCCTGATTTTGATGCCGAACAGTAGATCACCTTCTTGATGTCTAGATCCCACCAAAAACTCAAGAACTGGGCAATCTATAGCAGATCAATCAGCCCTTTACTACTGTGGTCCCCACCTCCTATTTAACAACTAACATAAAACATCTACTCAGAAAAACATCATAAAACTAATTAATCTTCAACATTATGCATTTGCAGAGGCTAACAATTGTCTTTGCTTCAACCATCAATTCTCTAACAAAATATGGGCTAAATTTCTTGGGATCTTTGGTTTTTCCAGGATCATGTTGAAGGTTTTCTTCAGGGTCAGCTCAAAAGTTTTCAATAAAATAGGAAAAAAAGTGTGGAACATGATCCTTCGACAATGTTTTGTCTATCTGGATTGAAAGGAACACATGTATCTTTGAATAGGAAATCGGTATGGTTGAGTTTGTAGCAAAGAAGGCTTATGGCATGCTATTCTCATGACTGGTTATTTACAAAGCATTCTGGGGTATCCTTTAGAACTCATTTTTTGGGGCTGAAATTTTAGTTGGAGCTAGCCAATTCTATATATATTGTAACATTTTTTTTATGTTCTCATTGTATGGTTCCCTGTAGTGCATGGCTGCTGATGTAATCACTATTATACTTTTGATCTTATACACTTCTTTTCCTTTTTCAGAAAAGAATTTTGCTTTATCCATGTTTCTTGTGAGCCATGACCAATTTATTAATGGTGAATGAATCAACTATTGATTGGGCTATCAGAGACCCCAAAAGGTCAGTCCTCAATGGTGGGAATCATGGAATTTCAAAATTATTTTATCCCAATCAAGATGGATTCGAATTCCCAAGGGAGAAAACAGTTTTCTCTATGGATCGACCTTGGATAATCAAGCAATTTGATTTCCAAAACATGGAAAGAATGTTACCTGATACGGATACTGAAAATGTAGCTCCCAAGGTTGTGTAACATGCCCAAGAAATCAGCCAAACTTGTGCTCTAAGCTGATGATGGTGCAACCCAATTCAAGAACTTGATCTAGGTCAGGACTTGTGAGAATCAAACCTTGCTGATTTGCACTCCAATGGACTGATTGAATCTCCTCTGCTAGAGAGACTAGGGTTTTTGTTAGAAAAACTCAGAGAGAAAAAGATAAAAAAAGTTCTTCTCAAGCCTTGGTTGAATTAGGGTTTTTGGGTAGACAATCTTGATTGTGTATCCTCTCTTATGTCTCATACATTCTAACTAGAACTGGACTTCTAAAGTCCTAGTAGATGTTTCAAAATTGTTTCCAACTGTTTTGGAGACTTTCTAATTGGGATAAGGTCCTAATCTAATTAGGAGTTGGAGAGAATAAAGTTATTTCCTAATTCAACTCAAGACTCCCAACAACATAACTTCCTAGTGAAACTAGGTATGTTATTGGTCAAACTTGCCTTTGTGGAATATTATTAAAACTCTCAAGTGAGTATTTATTCTCACATGGCCAACCAGCTCCTTTGGTCTCTTCCTTATATGGCGTGGGACCCACCTAGTTTGCAAGTTATACCACATGGGTTTGGTCTATATATTGAAACACATGGGCCGAATTCACTAAGTGATCCTTAGTGAACCGCCCACAATCTAATTGGGCTTGAATTTGGCAACAGTTTGGCTGATAGCTTAGCAAAGCAAGGGGTTCAAAGAACATATATGTTTTGGGCACATTTGTAATTCTGTCCAGGGTCAGCTGACTTAGCTGATTTCTTTTACAACTTCTTGTTGTATCCTAATCTAAAGTTTTCTAATTAATGAAAATTTCAAAGTTATTGATAAAAAAGACACTTTATTACAAGTGGGATTTGGCTTTTGCCCACCCCTATAAACACAAATCCAATAGTTTTACATGAGAAAAGTGCCCCTCAGGTTTTATTCCAAGTAGACAGACACTCACTCTTAACCTCTCAGCTCATAATATCAGTACACTGTCCACAGGGAAGGACCTCTTCCTTGACTGGAGGATGTAGTGTCACACCCTCTACTTAGATGGATCCCGATGTTAAAATCTTTTGCAAACTCTTTTATAAATAAACTATTTATAGATATAAATACGTTTGCAAATTGATCTCAAAACAAGTTGAAATCCACTACCGGCAATTTTAGGTTTCCATCAGTGAGAGTGTAAACCAAGATATTATGTTTATCTGACAAAGTGGTTGATCTTTTCACAATGATCACCTACTCAAGTGATCTTCCAAATTGCTCCAACATGCCTAGGTATTTGACCCATAGTGGACCTTACTGGTTGGCATGCCAAAAGCAGCCCAATCCAACACTTAGTTTAATATCATTATCAAGTTAGGGATTAACTGCAACTTTCCAGTTTTTGCCCATCTGTCTCCAATGTCTTGGGCATAATTGGAATTAGTCCTGGTTCAGCATTTCACTAAACACCCACTCATTGTAGCTTAGGTCTAACCTTAGCAGTTGAGACAAACTACCCCGCCAATTCGTTAATATAATTGTGTTAGCCTTGACATGATAACTCCCTAAGTTTATCAAACAGCTGAGAACATTCTAAACTAACATAAGTCTCATAAATGTCTAGTTTAAGGGGTGATGCACAGAAACATAACAAAACACACATGAAACAACAATGTTTGATTTCATTCAATAATAAATATCAGATTATCAGATTACGCCTGGTTGGATCTAAGGGCGTACACTTTCTAACATGAACAATCCACAGAAAAAAGGATCATACAAATAGGTTTCAAGTATGCAATCTTTCTGAGTTCCTTATTTACATGGGCTTTGCATTTTTCTTGGGGAGCAGTTGATTAAAAGCCATACATTATTCATCAATACCTTAAGCCAGGAAGCTGTATTATAAAATGGAATCAAACTTCTCTTTTCTTTATGCTTTTCTATTTGAATGCAGTATTTTTTTTTTCTCTTTACCTGTATTTTGATTTCTGTTAATTTGATCTTGTGCTATTTTGAAATGCAGAGCTGGAACTATTATATCTGAGACGTGGGAGGATGGGCAAGTGTTGAAAGATCTTAATGCTCATCTTGTATGCTCTTTTTGACTCTTCCTTTCTTGTTCACAACTACTGAGTTTGTTGCTACTTTCCTGCTTGTGCTCATTCACAGTGAATCATTTTATACTTATCTCCTTTTTTGAGTTGGGTAGCTATATTCAAGCTATAATATTTTCAAAACTTGAGCAGTTAACAACATGACAATTGAACAGGACATGAGCCTTTAAGGGGGTGCAATAGAAAGACAAGGATCGTTTTTTTTTTTTTTTTTTTTTTTTTTGAGAGAAGGTCAAGGTCAGGGACCAAAAAAGGCTATCCCCTCTGACCTTGACCTCCACCCTGCTTTACAAAATGATTGCCATGTACAAAAAAAGACTCAAAACCTACACCCTTAAATGGCCTATGACCAACCATCCGTGAGAACATCTTCCTCATAATTTTCTGATAAACAGAATCAGCTGAACTAAACTTGTTTTTGAAGGCTCATGCATTCCTTTCTTGCAAAGACACTAAAATACCACCGCTGGGGTTATGTTCCAGATCAGCTTTCCTCTTTCACTCAGCCCTTCCACTCTCCAATCTCTTACAAACTCCTCTATTGATTCACGGCAGCAACTTATACTTCAAATTCACCTGAAATTCTGCTCCAAATTCCTTGCAAGAAACTACAGTGCAGCAAAGAGATGATTCACTGTTTCCAGCTTTCCTTCACACAATACACAGCTATCTGAATCTAGCAATAAGCCTTTCTGTGAGAGATTGCCCTTGTGAGTGTTCTGTTAAGGTAAGCAGTCCATACAAGAAAAGACATGTTTGAAGGCACATTTTTACTCCAGATGATGTGAACTGGGACTGATTATCCTGCATTGTCCAATCCTTATAAAGGACTTAATTGTGAATCCTCTAGTCTTCTACCATTTCCAAACTCTTGTCAGACTTGGCAAACTCCACCTGTGTATTGTACAAAAGCTGTAGCAATTCCAGCCACTCATCCACTTCCCAATCATTTAAATTCCTCCTTAATTGTGGGGCCCATACCACATTGCCATCTTGTATTTGCAAGCAGTCAACAACTTTGACTTCTTTGTCCATAGTTTTCAAGGCGAGGCTAGGTGACAGGGGGCGCCTTGTCACCTAGGTGATGGATTTTTTAAGTAAAAAGCATGCATCCTAGGGTAGTTCCCTAGGTGCCATAACCATATTTCCTTAATAGTTATTCATAATTTTCATAAGAAAAGTATAAAGTTCATTTTAAAGTATAGAAAATCAATATATTCACAAGAAGAAAAAGAAGAAAGAAAAGAAAAGTGAAAAAATATACGGGCTGAACCCTTATTTTTGTTATAGGAAAAGAAGAAAAGAAAAGAAGATAAGAACAAAAGAAGAAAAAGAAGATATGGGAGGAGAAAATGTGTTGATTAGACAAAATTTTAAGTTCTACCTTTCTTATTGGTTCAGGCTTTGAAGTCTTTGAGGGTTCAATACAGCATTTAGCAATGTTTGTGTTGATTAAACCCAAATAAATAAGAAAACAATAAAAAGAAATTAATATATAAACAGACAAAATGAATGTTTTAGTTTAATAATCTATTTATAATTATAGTCTAAAAAACAAAGAATAATAAGTAATTTATAACAGAAAGTACAAAACTGCTTGGCGATTAGCCGATTAGGTGAGGCAAGCCTCCAAGGCCACCTTGTCGCCTAGGCGTTGTCGCCTTGACAACTCCACACCAAACATGTTCCCCGTTTACTATTTTGAATTTCACTCCTTTTGCAAGCATATTATATGCCTTTTCAATTCCTTTCCAGACTGAGCACCTGTAGGATTGATTTGAAGCTCTTGGGTCCGACCCCAAATTCCTTTCTCCATATTTAGCCTGTACCACTCTTTTCCACAGCCCTTCTTGGTTCTCCCCAAACCTTCAAAACCATTTCCCTAGCAAGGCAACATTGACATTCTTCACCCTTTTAACACCCAATCTTCATTGTGATTTGGGCTTGCAAATTTTATTCCACTTTATTAAGTGGTATTTCTTTTCCTCCTTCCAGCCTCTGCAAGGCAAGTCCCTCATTTTCTTTTCAATAATAGTTGCCATTCCTGCTAGAATTGGATACAAAGATAGAAGGTACATTGGGGGGGGAGGAAGATAACATGCTTCTTACCAAGGTAATTTTGCCTCTATAGAAAAGGTATTTCCAGGAAGCCAATCTCTTTTCAAGTCTTTCTACAGTTGTCTCCCAGATTATTTTGGAGCTGCATTTTACTCCCGAAGGCATTCCCAGATATTTTAAGGGCAGCTTTCCCACTCTGCATCCCCAAATCTCTGTCCAACTAGCCAACTCGTGCACCTCTCGGGCTCTCCGACAGCCACTAGCTCACTTTTGCTCATGTTCACTTGCAGCCCTGAGACTATTTCAAACCATTTCAGCACAGCCATTACAAATTGCAACTGCTTTTGTGATTCATCACAGGAAATAGGTAAAGTGGATTGTATTGAAGTCACCCCCTACCACCCAGGGCTTGTCCCATTTTTTCTTTCACACCATCTAGTTCTGTCCAGAATTCTTCCCTCAACCTGTTGTCATTTGGACCATACACTGAGGTGAGCACAAACTCCCATCTAACTGCTTCCACTATGTCCGCGTCCCAAATCACTACCCTTTACCTCTGTCCCACTTCTGTATGCTTATGTACCCTTTACTTCCAGTATGTCTGTGTCCCAAATCACTACCAAGCCCCCGGAAGTGCCTTCAGCTGGCAATATTACCCAATCACAGCTACAATCTATCCAAATGCTTCTGATAACTTGAGCTTCCACCAATTCCATTTTGGTTTTTTGGAGACAGAATATCTGCCTTCCAGGTCTTCAGATGAGAACCTGTCACCATTCTCCTACGGCCTGAGTTCAGACCCCGAATATTCCACGAGACTATCTTCATGGTTGGCCCCTCTGGTCAAGTACACTTGGTATCTCCTCCCTTAATCACGGGGAGTTTCTTCCCATCCTTTGCCAACACCCCTGCATTTTCATTCAAGCCCCATTACTAGTCGGAATAGTTCCCTTTGAGTCCTCCTCTTTTTTCCCCCTCCTTCATTTCTTCCAGTGACACTCCCAGGAAAGCACCAAATTCCATGAACTTTGATAGCACCTAGGTTGATAGTTCTGTAGTCGATCCCCCACCATTGAGTGCCATGTCCAAGCTTCTGTCTTGTGACTTACTTCTGTGAAGTTTGGTGGTTCCTCCCCAACTAATGACCATTATGTTGGGATTAAGGAAAGAGGGCTTACCTCCATCACTTCTATGTTGAAACACATCTATTTTGATGTAACCCTTCCTATCATGGTCGTCCTTTCTTCTTCGATGTGTTCTTTCCTTAACATTCCTGTACTGTGTTCATGCCTCCGACTCTTGTGTCTGACTGTCTAACCTCTTTTCACCTGTGGATGTGTTACTTTACTCTGAGGACATAGGGAAGGAAGGCTGCAACGTTAATACCTTCTGCCACTGCAAGCCACCAGCTTCTCCTGTGCCTCACTCAATTAAAGAGTTCGAAGATGGAGAGTATCGAGACTGAGGGGAAGTCTCATTTGGAAATAAAAAAGAGCCTGGGTATTGTGTATCAGTTTGTTTGTCCTTAATCCGAATCAGTATTTAAACTGGTTGGGCTGCCCATCTCTTGATTCGGTTTAAGATCCCTGCCTGATAAGTTGTAGCCCACCTCCTGAACAGAAGTGCAAGACTCCTTGCTTTTACCCGCACCCATAACCTCCTGCACAGAAGTGAAAGGCAAGGATCTTACGGTTTTGATTTTGACCATCTGAACCACTGCAAAGATTCCTTTATAGGACTTGCAATTGAATTGATAACCAGTTCAATGTGCCTTGGTGTTTTACAATCCAAGCTAGAGAAAACAGTTGTATATCAGTTTAATGTGCCTCGGTGGTTTACCCATTCTGTGTATTTGTTATAAATTGTTTTAATCCAATAAATAGATGTGTATCCAACCATAGTTGTCAAGGTGTCTAGGTGAGCCTTAGTGGCCAGAGAGCACCCAGGCGACTAGGCGACTTTATTAGTTTTTTATACATCATTTAAATATATCAATTTCAATGTTTAATAACCTTTTTGGGCCAACGAAAAAGGGGGAATGCAGTGAAAAAGGACAGGGAAAAGAAGGGGAAGGAGTCCTTGTTTCGTTTGAAAAAAACATTATTAAAAATAGTGCAAAAAATACAGGGAAAAATTTAGAAAGTTGGGGCACAGTTCCTGTTTTGTTCCCAAAAGTATTTTTTAGAAGACTTGGACTGAAACAGAAGAAAAAAAAATACCGAAGAAGACTTGGACTGAAACAATGGAAACTTCTCAGTCCTCAGTCTTCTCTTCTCAGTTTTGGTTCAAAACCTCAAACCCAAAGAAACTTTCGTAGTTTTAATAAAAAAGGAATTATCTTAATAAAAATTTGTAACATACAGCAGGGTGTATTCTAATAAATTAAAAACGACCAATAAAATGATATAATTTATATGGACATTCAAAAAAATGATATAATATATATGGGCGATCACCTGGTGTTGGGCGAGGCGACCTATAAAAATTGCATAGTCACCAACTATGCATCCAACGCTGTTCTAGCATGCTAAAATTTTCCCCATGTTATTATATGGGCTTGTAGTCTGTGTATGTGTGGTCTGTGGATCATCAACAAAATGACTTTATTAATGACCAAAAATAGGTATACAACAGTTCAAAGTTCTCAAACCCTGTGCCACAATGTATATTATAGACAGGTATGTTATATAATCAGCATGAATTAGTTTATTAAAATATAAAGGATAAAGAAAGTTACTACCACCACTCCCCTAACATGGTTGTTAATTATACAATTACTTTTACCATCAACAAATAAAAAAGGGTAATTTCATTAATGACCAAAAATAGGTATACAGTTCAAAGTTCTCTCACCCTGTGTAATGATGAATATGATACACATGTATATTATATGGCCAGCATAGAATAATCTTATTAAAATATAAAGGAAAAAGGAAATTACTGCCACCACTCCCTTAACATAGTGTGTTAATTATTCTATTACTTCAACCATCAACAAAAAAACGGGTAAACTCAAAACACCCTCTATAGGTGTCTCACCTTACTACCTAAGCTATCAAAAGTTGCAGATACCCTCCTAAACTTTCATAAGTTAAGTGGCATTAATGTTGAAAGTAAAATGACCAAGTTAACCCTATTTGTTTCACATATGTGATGGGATTCTGTTCTCAAATCCAACAAAACGAAAGAACCTAGGGTTTCTTTTGGAACAAAAGCCTATCACTGCCTAAGAAGTAGAGTAGAAAAATTTAATAGGTTACATGATTTGCAATTAAACATTTCCCATCCATTTTCCTGATGGAAGGCAATGGAAGAGCTTTTTTGATACACTTAAAAAAAGTTTGGGGGGAGGGCATCTGCAACTTAGAGTGTGAAGAACTCTTCTTACCATGGTAAGCTCCTTTGATACTTTGTCTTCTTATCAAATATAAAATCATTAGCTCAACACCTCTGAATACTAGTCACAAGGATATCGGAGATTTCATTCTGGGGCAGTGATTTAAAAGGTGTGACTTGGTGCACAGGCAGGGCACATTTTGAGAAATAAGAATTTCAGACCCTAACATAGACTTGTTCGGGCTTGCCTCGAGGGGCATGGACAAAGGCGACTCATAGAATCAAGAATGCAATATGTTTTATGTCACATTAGCTACTTGAAGCAATGCAATTAAGGTAAAAAAGAGATTGTGGGTTTTACATGCTTGAAAATGCTTTATATGTTTGCTTTTATTTTTAAATTTTCATTTGAATACGCTTTACATGTTATGCTTATGTATTTTAATTTTAGACAATAGGTTTTTTAAAACATTTATTTTAAAATTTAAGTTTATATTTTTTATTAACATTATGCTTAATATTTTTTTTTGCATTTTTTAAAATTTTTGGCATTTGTTTTGAATTTTCTGACTTTTATTTGATTTTTTGCGCCTTGCGCCTCAGGTGCAAATTGGCCCTTGTGCCTTGCGCTTTTAAAACACTATTCTGGGGGCAGTATTGCAAGGTGGTATTCACCTTTTGTTTCAAGAGTAATGTCTTCTAATTAGCAGCTTCTTTGATAGCAAGGAAGTTATTATGCCATTTCTTAAGGCCATTGTTACTTTGGAAGTGGAAGGGGATTCAAAACTGGTCATATCTTGGATAAGATAAATGAATTCAGCACGTTTGAGTTACAGGCGCATGTTCACGGGAGTTAGGTTAACTTTCAAGCAAACTTAACATCAACTTCAGCTGGATTAGAAGAACGACAAATGGTTTGCTTGCTCACCGAAGCTCCGAAAATGCCATATTTTCTAATGTTGCTCATTCATTCATTCTAATAAAAGATATTTTTAAAAGACGCTTAAAGTTATAGAATCCTTTTTTATAAGGATTAAGAATTTAAGGCCCTGATATGGAGTGTTTAACATCACATTACGTATTTGAAGTAATGCAATTGGGAAAAAATAAAGAGATAAAGTGTTTACATGCTTGAATATGTTTTACATGTTATGCTTGATTTTATTTTTAAATTTTCATTTTAAATATGTTTTACATGTTCTGTTTATGTATTTTAATTTGAGATAATAGGTTTTTTAAACATTTTTTTTTAAATTTAAGTTTGTATTTTTAATATATATTGTGTTTAATGTTTTAATATTTTGCATTTTTTTTCTAATTTTTGGATATTTTTTTGCATTTTTGTGGCCTGCTTCAAAAAGGTGCATGCCTCACCTTGCTCCTTGTGCCTTGGGTGCAAAATGGCCCTTGTTCGTTTTTTGCGCCTTGCGCTTTTAAAACAGTCATTCTTTACTTGTCAAAAAGAAAAAAATAAAACTTTGACTTGCTGATTTTTTACCATGAGATGTCCCCTATGGCTCTATTACTTGTTCAATCCTATTCCCTTCTAACAATCATTCATCTGTTTTAAACTGAATCCACGACGCACCAAGGAATATGGATTCTATAACTTTATTGAAGTTTTGTCATGCTAGATATTGTATGAAACTTTTTTCCATTTATTTTTCTAGAGTACTTTGGACCAATTTGTCCCAATGATGCAGTAGATAATGACTATATGGCATATATAGAGTTGAATGAAAGGTAAGTATCAAAATTAAGTGATTTCAGATGATATATTGCATCAATATTGTTTTTTTTTTTTTTTTAAATTTTGCAGAAACATTTATTGGAAACAAAAGAAGCTATTGAGCGGCATCGAAAATCACTAAAAAAACGTCAATCAGGTAAAAGTTTATCACTTTTAGTTGGGGGAAGGTTGTGCTTTGCTGCTATCTTTCATTGTTTATTTTTTGTGAGCTAGAAACTTGATGAAATTCAGACGTCCATTTAAATATGTACAAATGTTATATTTATTCTTGGTGAAAAGCTAGTGGCAATCCTAGTGCATGTGCATTGTGTAATAGACACTGGGGCCCACGCCAACCATGATGTTCCTGCTAATATCTTGTATTATAGTTCTTAGTGTTAGTATTGTTTAGTTCTCAAAATTGTTCACTAACTATTTTTTCTAATCTTTTTCATAAAATCTGCTTACTAATGTACCTTTCAATTGTTTTAATGTTGTCTTCTTGAAGACAAGGGTGATGGAAGTGATGCTGAAATAGGCATGTCAGAAGAAGATTATCTTATCCAGGATGAGATTTGTAAATCCCGGCTAGCTAGCATCAAACGCGTAAGTTTGATTCTTAATTTCAGTTTTCTTCTCACTTTTACCTGTCAAGTTGGCATGCATTATATTTTCTGTATTATTTATATGGTATTACTGGTTTTAAGGTGTAACCAATTAAGCTGTAAATTTTATTTAGGAAGAAGAAATTTCTTTACGTGAGAGGGATCGGTATGAACTGGAGAAAGGAAGGCTTATACGTGAAATGAAACGCATAAGAGATGAAGATGGTTCCCGTTTTAACAATTTTCAGATTCTAAATCACCGATATGCCCTCTTAAACCTTCTAGGAAAGGGAGGATTCAGCGAGGTTTATAAGGTATAAGTATACTACTCTGTTCCCTTCTTTGATCAATATGTACCAAAGATACAAGAACTTTTCAAGCTTGATTATTGGTGTATTTGCGAAAACAAGTTTGGAAGAAATTGTTGAAAATATGGAAATCATTGTTTGCCTATATAGGCATTTGTGAGAATATACTCTTTTGCAGTGATTTGAAGTGGGAACTTTCGAGCAGGCATATGACTTGGTGGAGTATAGATATGTCGCATGTAAACTTCATGGTTTGAATGCGCAATGGAGTGAAGACAAGAAACAAAGTTACATAAGGCATGCAATTCGGGAGTACAACATTCATAAGAACTTGATACACAATCACATCGTGCGGCTTTGGGACATCTTTGAGATTGATCAAAACACATTCTGCACCGTCCTAGAATATTGTAGTGGTATGTATCTACTTAATGCTTTCTGTGACATGGCCTAAATGTGTTTTAGTGTGTTTGTGTTATGCTTACTTCTGTAATATGCTTTTCTCAAGAAAAAAGGTATTTGTAGAATATTTGTCTTCTCCCCTATTAAATTGTACATTTATTTTCCTTTTTCAGGTAAAGATCTTGATGCAGTCCTTAAAGCTACACCTATACTGCCAGAGAGGGAAGCTAGAATTATCATAGTTCAGATATTTCAAGGCCTTGTATATTTGAACAAGAGATCACAGAAGATAATCCATTATGATTTGAAACCTGGTAATGTTCTCTTTGATGAGGTTGGAGTAGCTAAAGTTACTGATTTTGGATTAAGCAAGATAGTAGAGGATGACGTTGGATCTCAGGGCATGGAACTTACTTCCCAGGGAGCTGGAACATACTGGTAATTGGTGATCTAGTTATGTTCTGAATATATCCGTAACAAACTAGGCTGATTTGGTTTCTTGTCAACAGTGCTTTATTTGTTAACTTAAAGGAACACACTGGAAATTTTTATTTGATTATATTATTCACCTGCTTCACATCTTGATTATCTTGCTTCCCTTTCACTTCACCATACTTATAAACAAGGATCAAAATTTTGATATGATACTCCCCATATCAGGTGTATGGTATCAGCAATACCCCAATACTCTAAATAAGGGGCTTTTGACCAATTTGACAGGGTAGGCAGGCCTTAAGACTGAATTCCCTACCAATTAAAAAAATGAGCTAAAAAATGTTATGTGCTACCGAAACACCTGACACGCAAATTCATGCATATCAGGTATATCAATGCTTTGAACCTTGCTTATAATAAGTTAATAACTTTAGCCATCTGGTGCACAATATTTTCCTTTACCCATCAAAATATTCACAATGTTTTGCATCTAACAAAGGTAAGGGCTATTTGGGGTGGGCTGTTTCCATTGTGGTGTTTCCATCAAAAGTAAGGGCTTTCTGCAGTGGGGCTTACCTCAATAAGATCAACTCTTGTGAAGCTTTGCAAAGAAGAAGGTGAAGCTGGTTTCATTGCCCATGTATTTCTCATGTAAAGTGAATGGTGAAACTTTGCAACTGATATCTGGGATTATTTCTTCTCTTGTTATGGATGTAGGTGGAATCCTCCAGCGGAGTTGAAGACTTTATTTGATACTGTGTTTTTCTCTCCTTTAAGAAGAAAGGAAAATTTCTCTGGAGATGCACAAGGGTAGCCATCCTATTGTGTATTTGGGAGGAAAGAAACTCAAGGCTGTTTAATGACAAAGAAAAGGGATTTGAGGAGGTTATTGACATTATTACTATGAGGGTGGTACATTGTGTTAGAACAATGGATCTGTTTGGCCCTTATTCATTTGAGGACATTAGGAGAAATTGGAAAACAGTGGAAGATTCTGATTCCAAGAAGCAAACAGCTGGTACTTGGCAACCCCAACTGTTGCCTTTTGTCAGGTTGAATTTTGATGGCTGCAGTCTAGGTAACCCAGGGCTGTCAGGTGTTGGGGGAGTGATAAGGAGTAATGAGGGGAACATAATTGCTATGTTTTCAGGTCCAATTGGTGTAGAGGACTCAACAAGGGCAGAACTTTTGGTCGCTTTGACAGGAATCAAAATGGCTAAATTACTAAATTACATTAATGTTGCTATTGAAGGAAACTCCATGCTAGTCACTAAGTTGTTGGGCAGCAATCAGGAAGGATCATGGAAATACAAGCACATTATCAGAGAAATCAGAGAAGTCAAGTGGGAAATGTGTATAAATATTAGGTTGGTACCTCAGGCAGTTGACAGTTTCGCAAATGGATAGCCGAGGCTATCTATCTTTCAAAATGCTGTCATGCACATATTTTGATCTTAGTAAATAAATTGTTTGTTACTGATAAAAATGCATCTATCAACTACCACAAAGCACATTTTCCTATTCTATTCCTGGTGATATCATTGTGATAGGCACACCCATTACCACTAATCGGCCCACCAGCATGATACCCATACAGCCTTACCCGAAGACCTATGTGAGGGGACCACGTCAGCTAGTTAGTTACAATTGAGAGAAGACGCCCATGTGATGTAAGGGCTATAAGTAACATAATAGCAATAAAGAAAAACACCTTTTGAGCACCAACAATCATCTTCTCTTCTCTTTTCTTCTGTAGGAGGCCTGAGATCCCTCGAAGAAGCTCCTGAGGTAGGTAGAACCTTACCAAGTGGTATCAGAGCCCAATCTTGCGTTGACATCATGGTGGGAACTAGAGCATCTGTAAGCGATGAACGTATTGGGAAACTTGTGGGAGACATCACTGAGATCAAGGCGGCTCTCTCAGCGGTCTTGGCCAAGCTGGAGAAGGCAACTGTCAGCGAGAACAACGAAGGTGAAGGAGAAGGTAGCAGCCAACCCAGCAACCGATTTGGAGGAAATGGAGTGTTGCGACAGACTAAGATCACCTTCCCAAACTTCTCAGGTGAGGACTCTATACCGTGAATTTATCGGGCTGAGAGGTACTTTGAGAAACATGAACTTCTGAGGAATCAGAGGGTCTCAATCGCCACTATCCATCTAGAAGGAGAAGCAATTCTTTGGTTCTAGTGGTTTCGTTGGTCACATCCCCAAGTGACCTGGGCGGATTTCGTTGATGCTTTGTGTGCGATTTGGACCCACTGGATTCGAAAACTATGATGAACAACTTGCTAAATTGAGATAGATTGGTTCAGTGAGAGAATATCAGGTGGAGTTTGAGTGTGTATTCTCTAGGGTATAGGGGTGGCCGAAAAATGCTCTATTAGGCAGTTTTATTGGAGGGTTGAGGGAGGATATTCGGGTGGAGGTGAAATCTATGTAGTCTTCGACAGTCATGGCTGTTGTAAGGCTGGCCAGGTTTTATGAGGAAAAACTCGGCAGATTCAAAAGGCCACCTAATCGTCCTCAGGGACCCCTATTGAAGACTCCCATAATGGGATGTGGCCCTGAAGATAGAACCGACCTAGACCTGACCATTATGGGATCTACTAAACTAGAAACCCAAGGTTTCAAGCCCAACAACCCATATAAAAAGCTGACATGGGCTGAGATGCAGGCTCGTAGGGACAAGGGCCTATGTTACAACTGTGATGAACGAGGAAGAGCATGCAGTGGAGGGTCTTGAAGAAAATAACTCAACTAACCTTGATATGATATTCGGGCTTGGCCCATCCGAGATTTCGTTACAGGCCCCGACCGGTCTCACATCACCCCAAACCATGCATGTTATGGGTCGATTCAAGGGTCCGGAGGTATCTATTTTGGTGGATAGTGGGAGTACGATGAACTTCCTTTCTGATGACTTGGCCACCCAGATGGGGGTAACCATTAGACCCACCTCTAAATTAACTATTCAAGTTGCCAATGGTAGTCAGATACCATGTGAAGGAGTTTGTAAAGACCTGGAGCTAATCATCCAAGGGGAGGTTTTTTGCGTTGATCTGTACACATTGGCCTTTAGTGGGGCCGACATCATACTTGGGGTACAATTGTTGCAACAATTGGGTCGGGTGGTTTGTGATTGGTCCAAACTAACCATGGAATTCTAAAGAGGAGACCAAACAATAACCCTAAGCGGGTCCAGTCTGCTGGTCCCACAACCAGCTACCCTCAGCTCCATAATCAAAAGTAGTTGGGACTTAAATCGGCACACCTTGATGCTCTTAGGGGCCTGCACCCCTGGCCCACATTTGAAGCCCACACTCAATTAAGGCGACATGGGCAACCCAGATCCGCTGCTACAAGAAGTATTGGCTAAGTACCTTGAAGTCTTCCAAGAACAGCAAGGGCTTCCTCTAGAGAGAACTTAGGACCATCGGATTCCCATCGTACCGGGCACAACATTGGAAAATGTCCGGCCCTACCGGTACCCATACTATCAACGCCAAGAAATTGAGCGCTTAGTGCAAGACCTCCTACAAAATGGCTTCATACAACCCAACAATAGCCCGTATTCTTCCCCAGTTATACTAGTGAAAAAGGACGGTTCTTGGCGGTTTTGCATGGATTACTGGGCATTGAATTCCATTACATTTAAGGATCGGTTCCCCATTCCCTTGATCGATGAGTTGTTAGACGAATTGCGGAAAGCCCGAGTTTTCTCAAAACTGGATCTCAGGTCAAGGTATCATCAGATCCGAGTCCACAAAGACGATTGCATAAAACGGCTTTTAGGACTCACAATGGCCATTACAAGTTCTTAGTCATGTTGTCCGGTTTATCCAATGCACCATCGACCTTCCAATCACTCATGAATGACATTTTCAGGCCCCATCTTCGTAAGTTCATTTTAGTATTTCTTGACGACATTCTTATCTATAGCTTTGATTGGGAGCAACACCTCCTACATTTGAAGCTAACCCCGGATGTGCTAAGGCAAAACCAGCTTTCGGCCAAGCTCTCCAAATGTGTCCTTGGGTAGGGAAGAGTACATTATCTTGGTCATGTGGTAGAGGGAGGGGAGGTGAAGCCCGATCCTGAGAAGGTAGCCAGTATAAAGCATTGGGCCCGGCCCACCTCAGTTAGACAGCTGCATGCCTTACTAGGCCTAACCGGGTACTACAGAAGATTCATCAGGAACTATGGGCTGATGGCAGCAGCACTGACCCAACTTCTATGGAAGGAAGCTTTCCACTGGACGGCGGAGGCCCAACAAACCTTCAACTCCTTGAAGACAGCGGTTTCCTCTCCTCCCACATTGGTCCTACCAGATTTTGAGCAGCCTTTCGTAGTGGAATGCGACGCATCAGGCACCGACATTGGAGCTGTTTTGATGCAAGGGGGTAAACCCCTGGCTTATTTCAGCAAAGTTCTTTCTCCTTGTGCCAAGGCCCAATCCACCTATGTTAAGGAGCTAATGGTTGTCGTCCTATCAGTCCTTAATTGGCGCCACTACCTTCTTGGATGATGCTTCATCATCATAACTGATCAACAGAACCTCAAATATCTGCTGGAACAGCATCTCCTTATGGAAGAACAACAAAAATGGGTGTCTAAGTTGCTGGGGTTTGATTATTTGATAGAATACATAACTAAAGCTTCTAATTGGGTAGCAGATGCCTTGTCAAGACAAAATGAGTTACAGTTGATGGCGGAATCTAGACCTGTGTACCCGCTACTAGAGGTTCCTAAGCAGGAGATATTGAACAGCCAAGAGCTGGGGGCTATCAAAAGGAAGTAGTCCGAGGATCCAACCAAAACACCAGGCTAGACCATGAGGGACTCCCTCTTGTACTATAAAGGAAGACTGGTTCTACCTTTATCATCTCCTCACATAACGGAGCTTCTACAGCTGTTCCATTCCTCTGTTGAACATTCAGGGGTACTAAGGACCTATTGTCGTATTGCAGCACACTACTATTGGAGGGGGATTAAGAGGCATGTGCAGATCTTTGTGGCCAGCTGCCCAACCTGTCAGCAGTAGAAATATGATACTTAACAACCAGTTGAGCTCCTTCAACCCCTTAAAATACCAAGCCAAGTCGGGGATGATGTCACCATGGATTTTCATCACAGGTTTACCGCCCTCTCAAGGCAAGACAGTGATCATGGTGGTAGTGGACAAACTTGGTAAATATGCCCACTTCTCAGCCTTGTCGCACCCACTCATAGCAGCACAGGTAGCATATCTGTTCGTGAGAGACATCCCAAAACTGCATGGAACACCAGCCTCCATTGTCTCTGACCGAGATCCTCTATTTATGGGAATATTTTGGTAGGAGTACTTTAAAATCCAAGGAACACACCTGGCTCACTCCACGAGCTATCATCCCCAATCTGATGGGCAGATGGAGGTAGTTAACAGATGCATCGAGACCTACTTGAGGTGCTTCACTGGGCAGAGACCAAAACAGTGGGTGAAATGGTTATCCTGGGCAGAACTATGGTATAATTCCACCTTTCATGTGACTAAGGCCTTGTATGGGAGAGACCCCCCTGCCATTACGGGTGTCAATTTGACTGGATTTTGTCCAATCCGATCCAATCCAATGTAAGTCCATTATAAATGAACCAGGTCCAATCCAATCCAATGAATGTTATGAACCAATTTGGACCGGTCCAATTCAATGTCTGGACCATCCAATCTATTCAAATTCATTTTGATTTAGATTGGTTTCAACCCAAACTCGGTCCATTGACACATATATTCTTATCTTATATCAATGGACCAGATATTGGCTTAATCCAACCCAATCCAATATAAATTTGTTACGGATGGACCAAGTCCAATCCAATCTAATAAATATTTTGGACCGGATTGGTCCAATCCAATATGTCTTATTGGTCCTTCCAATCCGTCCAAATTGATTTTGGACTGGATGGGTCCAATCCAAAACCGGTCCATTGACACCTTTAGTTGCCATTCTCCCCTACGAGGCAGGCTCCACAACAGTAGCTGCAGTAGATGAGTACCTCACTAGCTGAAACTTAATCTTGCAAGAGCTTAAGAACAATCTGCAACGGGCTCAGCAGGTCATGAAGAATACCTATGACCGCAAATATCGCCTCTTGGAATTCTAGCCTGATGACATGGTTTACTTGAAGCTTCGACCCTACCGACAAACCTCAGTAGCCAAGCGAGCATGGCAGAAATTGGCTCCCAAATATTATGGACCCTTCAAAGTCCTTGAAAGGGTTGGGTCAGTCGCCTACAAACTAGAACTACCACCTTCCTCCAAACTCCACCCTGTCTTTCATGTAGCCCTACTCAAGAAGCAAGTAGGTCAAGAGCAAAAAGCCCAGGCAACCCTTCCAGCTTTCACTGAGGAAGGAGTCATGATCATGGAGCCCCACAAGCTGATAAACTTCCGCTCGGTACGCAAAGGAAAGTACTACATAGAAGAGGCCTTGGTTGTGTGGAGCAACCTGCTGGGAGAAGAAGCTACCTGGGAGTAATACTCTCGACTGCAGCATGAATTTCCCCACATCAACCTTGAGGACAAGGTTGATCTCAAGGTGGTGGGACTTGATAGGCACACAACTAGGCCCATTACCATTAATCGGCCCACCAGCATGATACCCATACAGCCTTACCCGAATACCTATGTTAGGGGACCACACCAGCTAGTTAGTTACAATTGAGAGCAGACCCCCATGTGATGTAAGGGCTATAAGTAACAGAATAGCAATAAAGAAAATCACCTTTTGAGCACGAACAATCATCTTCTCTTCTCTTTTCTTCTGTAGGAGGCCTGAGCTCCCTCGAAGAAGCTCCTGAGGTAGGCAGTACTCTACCGCATTGTTTCAGTGTCAGTACCATATCCTGACTTTCCTGAACTTTCCTGGTGATATCACATTTTCCTATCAAACTTTCCTGAACTCTTAGTTGCTAGAATTTCATCCTTTATTTCCTTTATTGAATGTTCTTGCTCCATTTACCTGGTCTTACAGTGCCATTGTTTAGTTTTGCATAGATCTTGTTCGATCTAATGATTTGTAATGTTTAGATGAAAAAACTGTTAGGGGAAGGCTTCTGTGTGAATAAATTCCTAGGAAAATCTCATTATTCACTGTACCATGCATGTAGCAAACGTGGGTAGTTGGGACCAATCATCTGATCTCCAACATAGGTGATATTCTAGGTGTCATCTATTTCATTGAGTGGTTAGGGAGAAGCATGGATTAACTGATGATTCTGCAGTCAAACATGGTAAGCTATGATTGGATGAGGCAGTGATGCAGATACGAAGCAAAGAAATAATTCATGAGGAAACAAACCAATTTTCTTATTCCTATACCAATTTCAGAATTTTTTGGGTGATAGCATATTTGTGTTGCTTCAGTTTTTTATTTTCTAGTCATAGGTGTCTTAAGAATAGGATTTTAAAGTTTTCCTGAAATCTTCTGATATTTCAAAATTACTATTTATGGTAAATTAGTAACTTTTGGACTTACTATTTATTGTAATTCTCGTGATTACTAGTTTTAGTAAACTTGTGGTCTACTATTTCTGGTAACTCGAGAGTAAGTCTTAGTGGAATCAGTAATGAGTTTTAGAGTTATTTTAGGAGTTGGAGTCCCTTGTTCAAGTGCCCTTATGGCCACTCCTGGATTTGTCTTAGTTTTAAAGCAATTAGAAGTTGTTTTAGTCCAAATTGGTGTCTGTAAAGGGACATCCAAGTTCATAAGTCGAGTTTATAAAGAGTCATTGTAGTTGGAATTAAAGAAGAGATGATTTGATGAAAATAAAGTTTGGTTTAGTGAATTCTGGTTGTTGCCAGAAGCTCTCTCTCTCTCTCTCATTTCATCTTATAAACAATTTATCTTTGCTGTTTACCATAGTGGCATGAGTTCTCCTCTCTCTTTCTGATTTCTTGCTCATCTTTTGGCAGGCAGCAAGCATAGTTTTCTAGGCACCAAGGCGAGGCTGGGCGTCAGGGGGTCGCCTTGTTGCCTAGGTGCCTAGGTGATGGACTTGTTTATATAGAAAATATAGATCCTAGGGTAGTTCCCTAGGTACCGTAGCCATATTTCCTTAATAATTATTCATAATAAAAGTATAGAGTTCATGCTAAAGTATAGAAGATCAACATATTCATGAGAAGAAAAAAACGAAGGAAAATTTGAAAAAATATAGGGTCTGAACCCTTATTTTTGTTATAGGAAAAGAAGAAAAGAAAAGCTTAGCTATCTACTTTCTTTTCTACCCAAATGCCCCCAGAGATACACAATCACAGTGCTTCAGCACCATGTTTTGATTGCAAAACTTAGTTGCAGATCCATACTTGTCAAAGAGGATGAGGTATGGCTGCAGATCCAGAAGAAACTTGTCATTGTGATACTGTGCCAGGTTGGCTTTTGTTGTTGAATATCTACATGGAAATGATTAAATGATAATACTAGCTCTATCATATTTGTAGAATATGCGAGTATGGGAAAAATGTGTTTATTTGATTTTATCTTTATGCAAATAGCATTTTTTTTCTTAATTCTTCATCCATGTTTTCACTAATTTTTAGTAGGATCCTGCATCTGATCCTTGACAATTTCTGTGAATTTGGTCCATTGAGCTCAAAATGTATATTTTCTCTTTGCTTTTCAGGTACTTGCCTCCAGAATGCTTTGAGCTCAGCAAGACACCACTCATATCATCAAAGGTCAGTGACTCTGTGATTGTATCATTCTAGGAATTAGGCCCATCTAAGGAATAGAGACAAGTGGTGGCTTGTTGCTAAAATTTCGGTTGAGTATCTCTGGGGGCATTTGGTGCAAGAAAATGCTGGGTAGCCAAATCTAACATTGACTGATATCCACTTTTAAGAAATACTAACAGGTGTACCTTGCTGTGCCCATTCTTAGCATTACAGAATTCTGTTCTAAGTTGTATCTTACAGTTACTAGAGGAAACCCAGTTCTACGGACTTGACGTATTGTAAATACCAGATTGTTATAATGTAACTATTCTCAATTCTCAACCATATGATCAGTGTACTACCCATTGATTTTGGACTCTCTTTGTTGATCAGCATACTGTTTCATGTATGTGGATCATCTGTTTTCATTGTTGGAAAGCGTGTTCAGGATTGGGGAGTGGGGGTGGGGAGAGTTTTTCATTTCAATACAGTTTACATTTCAATTTCAAATTGATCTGGTCCTTATTTCCCAAATGCAAGGGGATACATTACCAATAAAAAATGTGAAGGGATGATATCACATATCCATGGATCATTACAATTTTGATCACCCAATGGTGTCACAGATCTGAATGCCCAATCCACTGAATGGATTTACTTTAAGCAACTATTATTTATTTTTTTTGATAATTGAAATAATTTTATTAATCAGCAATAGACAATAGTACAAAGTCCCCAAGGAAAGGCACGAGTTGCAACCTCTCCGGGGTAGTTAAGTACAGATTTCCAAATTAATAACAACTTACAAAGAAGCACAAAAAAGATCTTCCCTAGAAACCCCCTGTTTGGCTAAAGCAT